TATCAAAGAAACGCCACTGCATAGGCAAGGCGGCGCCACTGACGCATCCTCCCCCGAGTTCGCATGACCGTTTCGTCTATGGATAAATAGCTAATTTGGTTTTTGTTGCCTGTTTAAGAAGATTAAGTAGCCTTCATATAATGAGTGATGAGATACAGTCATTGTTGAAAGTGATTTAATTATGTAATAAAAATAAAAACAAGTTGGTTAACTAAAGTTAGTGCTCTCCCATGTCTCATTCTTCTAAATTCTCATAGTAGACACGAACAACCCATGATGAAGGAAGAATTGATAATTAATTAGTTGACATTTGTAAGAGAGCATCAATTTTATCAAGAACAATTCTTGATGAAAGTGCGTTGACTTTGGACAAGTCTGTTCTTGCTCAAATTGTATCGACACAGGAATTGGAATTGTATTATGCCTTTGCTCTAAACACATGATGTGATCACCACTATAAGGGCATGTTCCATTCATTTCCATATTCCATTTTTTCACCTAATTTAGGTATTTTTAATCTCCCAACTTAAATCACTAAATCGGCATTACACTTAAAATTATGATGATTTGATTTTAGTCTCCCATTGTGGTCAAACCACATATCACCATATTATCAAATCCTATATTTTCACCAAATTTTTTGGTGAAAAAATTTGCAACTCCCAACCTACCACCATTTTACCATTTTTTTCACCAAATCATATTGTTTCTATCAAATATAGAAATTGAAATAGAATTTGGTGTGATTAACACCATTTTATAATTAGCATATAAAATTATTATATTAACTAATTTCATATAATTACTAATTTGTAAATATATTTATAGAAAATATATTAGTGTTAATTAATGAATTAGTATTCAAAAGATAGATACATTTATTATTATTAGTAAATATAAATATGTTAGGTGAAACAAGGTTTTAATGAGACCCCCTTCAAAATTTATAATGCAATAATTTGTTTTGGCCAAAAAAAATTGTTGTAATGTTTTTTTTTTAAACCGTGTCGTAACTTTTTCAGTTATGAAATTATTGTTTATGTGTTATTTTATTATATGTATAATAATTTTCGTTGATTTTCATTCAGGTTTCAGTAGTTTTTTAAATTTAATATCATTTTAAGATTATATAATCAATAAAATTACTACTTATAATCAAAACTATAATCAATGTTTTTAAAATTAAAATAGACTAAAATTATGATTAACATTAAATTTATAATTTTGTGGAATACCATTGGAGACCAAACCAAATTATATTCTCTATAAATAGGAAAATGATAAAATATTATTATTTTATTGTTTAGTGTAAAATTTGATGGAATTGGTGGGAGATTAAATACACTATTTCTTCACCAAAAGTAGTGAAATTATAGAATAGTGTGCTAAGGGTGAAAGATAAACCCAATTTTTCACCACCAAAAATAGAATTTGGTAAAAAAATAGTGATTAGGCTGAAAGATGCTCTAAGTTGTCCGAAACTCCTCATTTATTTGTAACACAAAGGGTAGGTGTTAGGAAAGTTTCTAAGTTAATATTATTATTATTATTTTATTTTATTTTTTTGTCGAATAAATATGTTTTATACGAATTACACCTACTAAGAGAGTGAGTAAATGTAATACACAAGCAAAAAAACAAGAGTACCCGGTGAACTGTGTACACCTGCGTGTATATATGTATGACAAAGGTGAAAAACTGGAATTTAAAACTCAAAGACTAATTAATGAAATAGAAATATAGAATATAGATTAGTTGGAGAGTTGGAGCCCATCATCTCAATAGTTGAAAATCATGCAAGGAAATGGTTCAAGTTTTTCAAAAATAAAAATTAATTAAAAAAAATTTAAAAAAAATCCCTCATCTTGCTATATAAAAGGCTTAAAAACCATACCTACTTATCCACGAAGAAAAATAAGAAGCAATAGGGTTCGAAATGGGAACCCTAATAAGCCAACGGTCTCTGATCATTTTCGCCTTGGCATTTTGCTTCATAGCCATTAATAGTGCAACGGCAAACAAAAAGCCGTATGTTTACGCCTCACCGACACCGCCAGCTCACTACCCCAAGCACTTGCCGTACCTGTACAAGTCGCCCCCTCCTCCAAAACACGTGGAGCATCCACATTATCAT